AACAAATGCTTAAAACAAAAACAAGGCAAGTCAAACGATTAATGCTTATGTATGTTTGTGTGTGTGTATACATTATTATTTCTAATCTGTATCTACTGAAAAACATCTCGTTTTAAATGCTAAGATGTCAAACAACAGCTTTTCCAACAACTGTACCTTTTTTTTTTTTTTTTAGGAAATAAAAAATGTATTGGATATGGGGTGCTTAATCACCTAAGGACGGCAACTTGTTTACAAAGGTAATATGTTCACACATAGAAAAACAATAAAAGGACATAATCACTGCCAAATAAGGAGGTATAAACAGAATCTTGAAGTTGTTTAAGATCACACAGTTAAGAGAGGATTAGAACTGGTAACTACATTTCCAGACTACTGGAACTGAGAATCATAAGATTCACTGTTGTTTGCTGTTGGGTGCAGTAGAGTCAATTCTGACTCATAGCAACCCCATTTGACAGAACTGAACTGCCTCATAGTGTTTTCTTTTTCTTTTATTTTATTGTTGTACTTTTAAGTGAAAGTTTACAATTCAAGTTAGTCTCTCATACAAAAATTTATACATACATTGTTATGTGACCCTAATTGCTCTCCCTATACTGTGACAGCACACTCCTCCTTTTCACCCTTGATTTCCTGTGTCCATTCAACCAGCTCCTGACCCTCTCTGCCTTCTCATCTCACCTCCAGACAGGAGCTGCCCATTTAGTCTCATGTATCTACTTAAGCTAAGAAGAACACTCTTCACGAGTATCACTTTATGTCCCACAGTCCAGTCTAATTTTTGACTTAAGAGTTGGCCTTGGGAATGGTTTTAGTGCTGGGTTGACGAGAGAGTCTGGGGGCCATGATTTCTGGGGTTACTCCGGTCTAAGTCAGACCATTAAGTGTGTTTTTTTTTTACTAGAATTTGAGTTCTGCACCCCACCTTTCTCCTGCTCCATCAGGGACTCTCTGTTGTGTTCCCTGCAAATGACTGTACTTTGTGAAAAAAATATATTATTTCACAAAATCAGTCAATTGTGATTATTCACAGCTGAGAGTGAGCAAACTTCTGGTAGTACCTCTACTGTCACACTAGCTGGTTTAGAGTCATTTTCCATTGTAAAAAACTTGTGAGTTGTGGGGGAAATGATACTGAACCAACTCAGCTGGGTTAGGCTCATTATGATGTAAATCACTTAGGACTAGGAAAGTATCTGGACAGCAAAGACATTTTCTGGGTCTAAGAGATAATGAGATGCTCCAAAGAACCTATTTCTCAGCCATAGTGAATGGACCTACAGCCGCATGTAATGCTTAGATGCTTATCTAGAAAATCTCCCATTATATCCATAAATTGAGTATTAGCTATATTTAAACCTGCCACAGGCAATTTACATAATTGGTAAGTGTGATCAATAAGATAACTAAATATTCTATAACTTCGCAAGTTTGCTTATCCCACTTATTTTTAAAAATATTTATCAGAAATTCAGCAGGTAAAACTATACAAAACTGAGTAACATTACATACTTTTCCTTAAAAGAAATAGAGACAAACAATGTATGATGATTATATCTGCACTAATTTCTCAAATCTATTATATTGGACACTACTTTCTCAAATACTCAATACAAACAAGTAGACTGAACTAAAAAAAAGCATATTCTTAAAAAAAAAAAAAAAAAAAAAAACCAAACTACAAATCTTACTTTGCATCTTGTTTATAAATTTTTGTCTCATTTTTTTTCTAAATTTTATTTATTTTGTTGTTGTTATTGAGAATATACACAGCAAAACATACACCAATTCAAGTCTCTACAGGTACAATTTAGTGACACTGATAACATTCTTCAGGTTGTGTAACCATTCTCACCCTCCTTTTCTGAGTTGTTGCTCCCTCATTAACATAAACTCACTGCCCCCTAAGGTTCCTATCTAATCTTTCAAGTTACTGTTGCCAATTTGATCTCATACAGATAGTTCTTAAAAGAGCATAATGCTCAAGGCAGACCTTTTTTTACTAGTTAAGCTAAACTACTGTTTGGTTTTAAGAAGACTTAAGGGGTATTTTTGGTTTAAGGTTTAAAGATTATTTCAGTCCAATAGTTTCAGGGGTTCATCCACCCTCTATGGCTCCAGAAAGTCTACAGTCCATGAGAATTTGAAATTATGTTCAGCATTTTCCCCTTTTTGATCAGGATTCTTCTACGGAATCTCTGACCAAAATGTTCAGTAATAGTAGCTAGGCACCATCCCGTTCTTCTGGTGTCATGACAAAGGAGGAAGTTGTTCATGGAGGCAGTTAGCCACATATTCCATATTCTCCTCCTATTCCTGACTCTCCTTCTTTCTCTGTTGCTCCAGGTGAACAGAAGACAATTTTTGTGCTTTGGATGGTCGCTTGCAAGCTTTTAAGACCCCAGGCACTGCGCAACAAACTAGGAGGTAGAACAGAAGCACTAAACATATTATTAGGCCAATTAACTGAGATGTCCCATGAAACCATGACCCTATACCTCCAAACCAAGGTACCAAATCCCATAAGGTGTTTTGGCTGTACATACGCAGCCTCAGCAGCTTTTTTTTTTGGGGGGGGGGGGGCGTCATTGTTGTAAATTCATCTATTATACAACTTTTGCCAGTTCCACTTTTACAGGTGTACAGCTTATTGACAGAAATTACAGAAACTGGCTGTGCAATCCTACCCTTACTCAATGCGATTTTTCCATCACCGTTAACCCCCTCATTCCCCCTCCCTCCCACCCTTGGTAACCACTAATAAACTTTGGTCTCTATACACTTGCCTTTTCTTGTCTTTTTATATAAGTGAGGTCATAAAATAATCCTTTTGTGATTGGCTTACTTCATTCTGCATAATGTTCCAACCATACTATAGCAGATATCAAGACTTCATTTCCCCTACTAGCTGAGTAGTATTCCGTTGTATGTATGTACCACATTTTGTTTATCCATTCGTCTATTGATGAGCGTTTAGGTTGTTTCAACCTTTTGGCTATTGTGAATAGTGCTGCAATGAACATTGGTGTAGAAGTCTCTTTTTGAGTCACTGCTTTCAAGTCTTTTGGGTATATACCTAGGAGTGGAATTGCTAGGTCATATGGTAGTTCTAGTTTTTTAAGGAACCACCACACTAGTTTCCACAACAGCTATACCATTTTGCATTCCCACCAGCAATGGATAAGGGTTCTAATTTCCCCACATCCTCACCAACATTTGTTATTTTCTGTTTGTTTGGTGTTTTTTTTTAACCTTAGCCGTCTTAGTGGGGGTGAAATGGTATCTATCTCATCGTAGTTTTGATTTGCATTTCTCTGATGACTAACGACACTGAGCATCTTTTCATGTGTTTCACGGCCATTTGAATGTCCTCTTTGGTGAAATGTCTAGTCAAGTCCTTTGACTACTTTATGATTGGATTGTCTTTTTGTTGTTAAGTTGTATGTGTCTTTTTGATTCAGCAGTATACTGCTTGTTGATACAAAAGAAAATTCAAAATCTATTCCACTTCTTTATGTTTAGGCATCTTATTGTCAATATATACTACACAAGAAGAGTAAATTCTTATTGAACTCATACACCATAATTTCCTGCAAATATTCCTCTTTTTCATATATCATACTGTCTCAGTTATCTAAGTGCTGCTATAACAGAAATACCACAAGCAGATGGCTTTGACAAAGAGAAATTTATTCTCTCACAGTCTAGGAGGTTAGAAGTCCAGATTTAGGGTGCCAGCTCCAGGGGAAGGCTTTCTCTCTGTTGGCTCTGGAGGAAGGTTCGTGTCATCAATCTTTCCCTGATCTAGGAGCTTCTATGCACAGGAACACTAGGTCCAACGGATGTGCTCTGCTCCCGGCACTGCTTTCTTGGTGGTATGAGGTTCCCCCATCTCTCTGCTCACTTCTCTCTTTTATATTTCAAAAGAGATTGATTTAAGACACAACCTAATCTTGTAGATTGAATCCTGCCTCATCAACATAACTGCCGCTAATCCCACCTCATTAACATCACAGAGGTAAGATTTACAACATACAGAAAAATCACATCAAATGACAAAATGGTGGTCAGTCACACAATACTGGGAATCATGGACTAGCCAAGTTGACACACATTTTTTGGAGGACACAATTCAGTCCATAACATATACATATTATTTACATTCTTTATCTTAAAAGTAATACAAATTGTGGCAGATTGTTTTCCAAAGATGGCTGCAACAATATATTCCACCCACATGCTCTTCTTACAATGTCATATTGACACTTCTTATTTCAAATTGTGAGGTGTCTATGTCTACCACCCTGCCTCCAAACCTGAGCAGACCTTTGTGACTACCTCAACAATAAACAGAACAGCGACGTTATGTGACTTCTAAAGCTAAATCAAATATGCCATGAACCATCATCTTGCTCTCTTGGGATGCTCTCTCTTGGAATCCAGCTGCCATGCTGCGAGGAATCCAAGCAGTCACAAAGAGAAGTCATGTGTAGGTGTTCTGGCTGATAGCCTAGGCTGAGGTCCCAGCCAACAGCCAGCATTAAACACCATGAGTGAGTGAGCCTTCAGATGACTATAACACCCAGCCACTGACTCACCCTCACTCTTCCAGCCACCTCACCTGATGCCACATGGAACAGAGACAAATGGTCCTCATCAAGCCAGCCTTGAACAAACTGCAGATTTGCGAGCAAAATAAATGGTTATTATGTTTAAGCCACTAAGTTTGGGGTGGCTTGTTAAACAACAACAGATAACTGTAACACAGCTCATAAATGCAATTTGGAAAATGCAACAAGAAGAAAAATAAATAAATTACCCTAAGTTTCACCACTGTTAATATTTTGACACATATTTTACACTCAAGATTCCAAATGCTTTCAGGATAAAGGGTTAATTTTTAAAAGCAGGCAACTATTTGCATCTGGCTAAAATAGGAAGGAAGAACATTAACATTCACTCCACTTTTCTTATCCTCAATTGTCTCTTTCACTTACCTATCCAAAGTGAGGCATCTGGGGATTGCTGGCCCACCAATATTCCAACCTAGATCTTGGGCTGCAACAGCAGCTGCACTGGCTCCCTTTCCTGGAAGCAGCAGCTTAGGCCCCAAACCTGAAAATTTCAAGGAAAGAAAATCAAATCCTAAATATAGACACCTTTCAATCACTTATAATTCCATCTCAATGGGAGCTGATGAAGTGAGGTAAAATACACGGAAGTCAACACACAGGTTTCATTGAAAATGGAGCTGGGTAATCTACGTTCAAGACTCAGCTCTACTTTTTACTAACTATATGATCTTTGTTAAGTCATAAATTCTCTGGGCCTAAATCTCATCATGCGAGAAAGACTGAGGGGACAATATCAAACTTTTGGACTAAGAGTCAGAAGACTGAATTCTAAACTCAGTTATCACACTGCCTTCCTACAAGAACTCTGATACTTCTCTGGGCTCAACTACATCATCTCTAAAAGCAGAGCCTTGAATTAGACAGTAGTTCCTGGAATCTAATCCTTGAACAGGTGTGCCAGGTATGACCAAAAAAAAAAAAAAAAAAAAGTGTGAAGTTACCAACTGTGCTTACTATGAGATTGTCCTTCCTACTTTTTAAAAGTGTTGAAATGGTCTCTTTTATGAGATGATGTGATATTCAGACAGTAGTAGTTGTTTTTAAAATAGCCTAAAGAGTCAAAGTAAAAAACTGTAACCCTACGTAAGTAATTTAAAATTCTTTTTAGGAATTTTACTATATGTATGATTTATATGTGGTCTAAAACTCCTACTTCTAGTGGTCTATGTATTCATCCACTGTCAACTAATACTAGGTATCTAATATGTAACAGTTCTTGGGGGCCCAAAAATAAATAAGATTAGTTTCTGTTCTAAAAAAGTTCCCAATCTAATGGAGAAACACACACATAAACCTTAATTACAACATAATACATCATCTTCTCAAAGAGGTTATTCATGTTATGACATATAGGAATTAGAACAGTAGAATAAATCCATTTTAAAATTAAGTCATTTCCGACTCATATAGAGACCTTACGTACAACAGAACAAAACACTGCCTGGTCCTGCGCCATCCTCACAATCCCTGCTATGTCTGAGTCCACTGTGGCAGCCACTGTGTCAATTCATCTCGTCGAGGGTATTCGTCTTTTTTGCTGACCCTCTACTTTACCAAGCGTGATGTCCTTCTCCAGGAACTGGCCCCTCCTGATAACACGTCCAAAGGATGTGAGATGAAGTCTCGCTGTCCTCACTTCCAAGGAATACTCTGGCTGTATTTCTTCCAAGACAGACTTGTTTGTCTTCTGGTAGTCCATGGTATATTCAATATTCTTTGCCAACACCGTAATTCAAAGGCATCAACTCTTCTTCCATCTTCCTCATTCAGTGTCCAGCTTTCACATGCATGAGGCGATTGAAAATATCATGGGTTGGGTCAGACGCACCTTAGTCCTCAAAGTGACATCTTTGCTTTTTAATACTTTAAAGAGGTCTTTTGCAGCAGATTTGCCCAATGCAATGTGTTGTTTGATTTCCTGACTGCTGCTTCCATGGACACAGATTGTGGATCCAAGTAAAATGAAATTCTTGACAACGTCAATCTTTTCTCCATTTATCATGATGCTGCTTATTGGTTCAATTGTGAGGACTTTTGTTTTATGTTGAGGTGTAATCCATACTGAAGGCTGTAGTCTTTGATCTTCATCAGTAAGTGCTTCAAGTCCTCTTCACTTTCAGCAAGCAAGGTTGTGTCATCTGTATATCACAGGTTGTTAATGAGTCTTCCTCCAATCCTGATGCCACATCCTTCTTCATACAGTCCAGCTTCTCGGAGTATTTGCTCAGCATACAGACTGAATAAGAAGAGTGAAAGGACTCAACCTGACGCACGCCTTTCCTGACTTTAAACCACGTGTTATCCCCTTGTTCTGTTCAAACAACTGCCTCTTGGTCTATGTAGACATTCCAAAGGAGCACAATCAAGTGTTCTGGAAATCCCATTTTTCAAAACATTATCCATAATGTGTTAGAATCCACACAGTCGAATGCCTTTGCATAGTCAATAAAACAAAGGCAAACATCTTTCTGGTATTCTCTGCTTTCAGCCAAGATCCATGTAACATCAGCAACGATATCCCTCATTCCATGTCCTCTTCTGAATCTGGCTTGAATTTCTGGCACTTCCCCGTCAATGTACTGCTGCTACCGTTTTTGAGTGATCTTCAGAAAAATTTTACTTGCGTGTGATATTAAAGATATTGTTCAATAATTTCCGATTTCTGTTGGATCAACTTTCTTTGGAATGGGCAGAGATATGGATCTCTTCCAGTGGGTTGGCCAGTTAGCTGTCTTCCAAATTTCTTGGCATAGACAAGTGGGCGCTTCCAGTGTTGTATCCATTTGTTGAAACGTCAGTTGGTATCCTGTCAATTCCAGGAGCCTTGTTGCTCGCCCATGCCTTCAGTACTGCTTGGACTTCTTCCTTCAGTCCACTGGTTCTTGATTATATGTTACCACCTGAAATGGCTGAATGTCGACCAATTCTTTTTCGTACGGTGACTGTGTAGTCCTTCCATCTTCCTTTGAGGCTTCAATATTTTGCCCATAGAATCCTTCAAAAGTGCAACTCAATGCTTGAATTTTTTCTTCAGTTCTTGCAGCTTGAAAAATGCCAAGCATGTTCTTCCCTTCTGGTTTTCTAACTCCAGGTCTTTGCATGTTTCATTATAGTATTTTACTCTGTCTTCTCGAGCTGCCCTTTGAAATCTTCGGTTCAGCTCTTTTACTTCATTTCTTCCACTTGCTTTAGCTACTTGGCATTCAAGAGCAAGTTTCAGAGTCTCTTCTGACATCTATTTTTGGTCTTTTCTTTCTTTCCTGTCTTTTTAATGACCTTTTGCTTTCTTCATGCATGATGTACTTGATGTCATCCCACAACCTGTCTGATCTTCAGTCATCAGTGTTTGATGCGTCAAATCTATTCCTGAAATGCTCTCCAAATTCAAGTGGGATATACTCAAGGTCGTATTTTGGCTCTTGCGGGCTTGTTTTAATTTTTTTCAGCTTCAATTTGAACCTGCATATGAGCAATTGATCATCTCTTCCACAGTCGACCCCTGACCTTGTTATGACAGATGATATTGAGCTTTTCCATTGTCTTTTTAACAGATGTAGTCAATTTGATTCCTGTGTTTTCCATCCGGTGAGGTTCACATGTATACTCATCATTTATGTTGTTGAAGAAATGTATTTGCAACAATTAAGTCACTGGTCTTGCAAAATTCTATCAGGAGATCTCCCGGCGTTGTCTCTATCATCAAGGCCATATTTTCCAACTACTGATCCTTCTTTGTTTCCAACTTTCGCATTCCAATCACCAGTTCCAATTCCAAAAACCCTCAACAAGATGGACCGACACAGTGGCTGCAACAATGGGCTCAAGCGTAACAACGATTGTTGAGGATGGTGCAGAACTGGGCAGTGTTTCATTCTGTTGCACACAGGGTCACTATGAGTCAGAAGTAACTCGACAGCACCTAACTACAACAACAATCACAATTATCAATGCATCTTGATTCCATGTTTGATCAATTTCAGACTGCAGAAGTTGGTAAAAATCTCCAAATTCCTCATCTTTGGCATTAATGGTTGGTGTGTGTCTTAGTCATCTAGTACTGCTCTAACAGAAATACCACAAGTGGATGGCTTTAACAAAGAGAAATTTATTCTCTCAGTCTGGTAGGCTACAAGTCCAAATTCAGGGTATCAGGTCCAGGGGAAGGCTTTCTCTCTCTGTCAGCTCCGGAGAAAGGTCCTTGTCATCAGTCTTCCCTCGGTCTGGGAGCATCTCAGCATGGGAACCTCCAGTCCAAAGGACACGCTCTGCTTCCAGCACTTCTTTCTTCATGGTATGGGGTCCCCCATTCTCTGCTTGCTTCCCTCTCCTTTTATCTCTTGTAAGATACAAGGTGGTGCAGGCTACACCCGACGGAAACTCCATTTACAATGGATCAGGGATGTGACCTTAGTAAGGGTGTTATACAGTCCCACCCTAATCCTCTTTAACATAAAATTACAATCACAAAATGGAGGACAACCACACAAATACTAGGAATCATGGCCCAGCCAAACTGATACACACATTTTTGGGGGGACATAATTTAACCCATGACAGTGTGTAAATTTGACTAATAGTTGTACTAACTGATCTTCCTTGTAGGCATATGGATATTATCCTATAACTGACTATGCTATACTTCAGGATAGATCTTTGAAATACTTTTTGATGATTAATGTGATGCCACTCTTCTTCAATTTGTCATTCCGACATAGCAGACCATATGACTGCCTGATTCAAAAGGGCCAATACCAGTCCATTTCAGTTTTGATGACTTCCAACTTTCCTAGATTCATACTTTGTACATTTCACATTCCAATTATTAATGGACGCTTGCAGCTGTTTCTTCTCTTTCTGAGTCATGCCACCTCAGCAAATGAAGGTCCTGAAAGCTTTACTCCATCCACATCATTAAGGTCAACTCTACTTTGAGGAAGCAGCTCTTCCCCAGTCGTATCCTGAGTGCCTTCCAACCTGAGGGGTTCATCTTCTGGCACTATATCAGATAATGTTCCACTGCTATTTATAAGGTTCTCACTGGCCATTTTTTTCAGACGTAGACCATCAGGTCCTTCTTCCTAGTCTGTCTTAGTCTGGAAACTCCACTGAAACCTGTCCACCAAGGGTGAACCTACTGGTATTTAAAATACCGGTGGCAAAGCTTCCAGTATCACAGCAACGCGCAAGCCATCACAGTACAACAAACTAATAAATGTGTAGTGTGGTAAACAGGTAAGACACTAAAAATAAAACGCCAATCCAACAAAAAATTTGGCAGATACACCTTCCAGAAGACAAATTTAAAAGCATCATTTACTAATAATCTAGCGTAAAAGGGGTTATTGACAACACTGATTTATACTCAATGGTACCTTTCTCCACTAGCTGCAAGGCAAGACCAAACTTGCTCCATTTTATATTCCTAGCACCTAGTACAATGCCTAATAAACAGCAGGTATCAATAAATATAGTTTATTAGAA